GAACTGCTGTATGGAAAGTGAATTTGCTCTGTAAATCTTCACCCAAATCAAAATAAAATAAAATAAAATAATTTTTTAAAAAAAGTTATAGGATGGGTGAAATAAAATGATGGATTTACTCCAAAATAATTAAGTGAAGTGGTCATCTTTCATCCAAATAACAGACTGGCTTATAAAATAAACAATACCACCTTTGAATACTGTGCCCTCTCAAATTAATCAATTATATGAGACCAAATGGTCCATATTTACCCTAAAATGAAAAGATGAGAAGCTAAAGAGGGGCGGGAAACCTAGAACACAAAGAATAAAAATAATAAGGATGTTGACACATTGTGAAAAAATGTAACCAATGTCACAGAACAACTTGTATAATAATTGTTAAACAGAAACAAAATTGCTATGTAAACATACTGAAAACACAATAAAATAATTTTTAAAGACAAAATAAAGCTTATTTACTAGAAAAAGATAGTGAGGGGACAGATGAAATAAGATTACTCAGGTATTGATAATTATTGAAGCTGGGTAGTGAGTACATATGAGTTAATTTTACCCTTCAGTCCACTTTTTGTATATTTGAAATTGCTATAATATAAAATGTTTTAAAGTTGTATGAGATTCTACAAAATTGAAATGAGCTTAAATTAGAGCAACAACAACAAAAACAGTTTTAATATATGGGGGGAAAAATCTTTCCTTCCAATATGGAAAATTTATTCTATTCGTTTAATTAAATTAGCATTGATCAAGAGCTGACCATGTACTTTCTAAGAGAAGGTTTATGATCAGGATGCTTTAAAAATATGTTCCTAAACACTGAGAAACTTTTTCTTAAAAGGGTTAACAAAGTCTACTGGAGGTAGAATGTGATAGAATAGATTAGTAGATGACAAGGTGGGCAAAGAAGCAGGAAGATCAGACTTACAGTGGCATCTGGGAGCCGGGGCATCCCACTCCTTAGAGGCATTGCAAACAAGGGTTTTCTTTCCAACCAGATGGTAGCCCTTGAGACACAAGTAAGTTCCTACCATCTGTCCTTTCATCTCCTTTGCAACTAAAATACTGTTGTCCACTGAGGGAAGTTCTGGACAGTTCTTCACTGGAAGGAAAAAGAAAACAGATTGACTTGGCATATCATGTGCAGTGAGGAAGCTCCTGTTAGATTCCCCCATCCAAGTCTCTTTTTTGCTGCACTATTGATTCTTCTTGTATTTTTCCATGTCCATGTCCATCCATGTACCTCTCTTCCCTAAAATGTCCAGTTTTATTTCCAAAACAGTAACAGGAATTTCATTCAAATTAAACCACAAATTATATACTCCTACACAATCTCTGTCCCCACCCCCTCCACCCCTCAAAAAAAAAAAAAAAAAAAAATAGCCGTCCTGGAGTTTAATAGGTAAGATCTTTCAGGATTTTGAAATCGATAGTTTTTATTATTTATTTTATTTTATTTTTTGCTCTCAGAACAGAAAGGGAAAATTAAACTGGTAATCACCCACTTGAGAGAGCAGACTCATCATTAAATATTGACTAAGACCCACTAAATAAAAAGCATTAGGCCAAGAAATTTGAAATTTTTCAGTAAAGGACAAAATAAACTTATTATAACTCTAATGCCACAAACTGATATTGAGTTCCTTGTTAGTTAAGCTTAAGAAAAGCATACATACCATCTGAGGCAGAAGTCAGCCACACAACCACAAGATAGCATACAAACTGAAAAAACATCTAGTGATCAATTACTTGACCCAGGCTGGAATTAACCCAGCCCAGACTCCTGGTCTGAATCAAAATAGATCTTCTGATACCACTTAAGACCAGGCCAACCACCTCCCTCTTAGGGAAGAGGCTGTATTGATTTCTTTTCCCTGGACAATATGAAAAACAAAAAGGAAAAAAAATCCTACCATAGAAAATAAGAACAGCTGTAAGGAAGTTAAGGAAGTAGGTACAGGGAGGGACTTGGCAAAATCACAAAGGAGTGAAAAAAGAGCTGCCAGTTTTAAAACTCAGTTACAGAATGGCCCAGTTTCTGGGAATACAAATTCAGTTGACCAGTCCCCTTTGATCTTCAGGCTTATCCTTTCACAACAGCCTTGGCCAAATGCTGTTGTTATGACCTTGACCTCTGTCAATATTTGCAGTGTCTACAGTCCACTTTCTGTAACTCTCTCTATCACTACAGGTATAGTCAAAGGTGCTGATTTTGTACATAACTCTTACAGCAATTAGTTGGTTCTCTGTGCCTCAATTATAAAATCAGGGTAAAAATTCCTACATAATTTTAGTTTTCAATAAAATAATAAATATAAAGCACCTCAGCACATACCAAGGTCTCAAATATTATTCACTTCCCCACCCATTATCATTGTTGTTGCTGTTAGATGCTGTCGAGTCAGCTCCACTCATAGCGAGCCTACGTATAACAGAACGACACACTGCCTAGTTATGGACCATCCTCACAATCCTTGCTATACTTGAGCCCATTGTTGCAGTCACTTTGTCAATCCATCTTGTTGAGGGTCTTCACCTTTTTTGGTGACCCTCCCCTTTATGACCAAAGTAGGTGAAAGGACGCCTGGCCAGTCTCACTTCCAAGAATTCCAGCTTCCAGGACATATTTGTTTGTTCTTCTGGCAGTCCATGGTATTTTCAGTATTCTTCACCAACACGACAATTCAAAGACATCAACCCTTCTTTGGTCTTCCTTATTCATTGTCCAGCTTTCACATGCATGTGAGGCAACTGAAAGTACCACAGCTTGGGTTCGGCTCACCTTAGTCTTCAAAGTGTCATTTTTGCTCTTCAGCACTTAAAAGATATCTTTTGCAACAGATTCTTCCAGTGCAATATGACATCTGACTTCTTGACTGCTGTTTCCATGGGTGTTGATTGTGGATTCAAATAAAATGAAATTCCTGACAACTTCAATCTTTTCTCTGTCGTGATGCTGCTTATTGGTCCAGTTATGAGGAATTTTGTTTTCTTTATGTTGAGGTGTAATCCATATTGAAGAGTACAGTCTTTAATCTTATCAGTAAATACTTTAAGTCATCTTCACTTTCAGCAAGCAAGGTTGTGTCATCTGCATATTGCAGGTTGTTAATGCATCTTCCTCCAGTCCTGATACTGTGTTCCTTATATTGTCCAGCTTCTTGGATTATTTGCTCAGCATACAGATTGAATAAGTATCATGAAAGAATACAATCCTGATGCACACCCTTCCCAATTTTAAACAATGCATTATCCCCTTGTTCTGTTTGAACAACAGCGTCCTGGTCTATGTACGGGTTCCTCATGAGTATAATTAAGTGTTCTGGAATTCACATTCTTTGTAACATTATCCATAATTTGTTATGATCCACACAGTTGAATGCCTTTGGACAGTCAATAAAACACAAGTAAACATCTTTCTGGTATTCTTTGCTTTCAGCCAAGATCCATCTGATATCAGCAATGCTATCCCTCATTCCACATCCTCTTCTGAATCCATCTTGAGTGGACTCAGATATTACAAGATAAAAGAGCTGAACAGAAGATTTCAAAAAGCAGCTCAAGACAAAATAAATTATTATAATGAAATGTGCAAAAATCAGAAGTTAGAATACCAAAGGGAAAAACATACTCATCAAGCTGAAAGAATTGAAGAAAAAATTCAAGCCTCAAGTTGCAATATTGAAGGATTCTATGGGAGCTCTGGTAGCATAGTGGCTAAGACACTTGCCTGCTAACCAGACGGCTGGCGGTTCAAACCCACCAGCCACTCCTCGGAAGGAAGGTTGGGCAATCCTACTTCCGTAGTGATACTGCCTCGGAAACCCAAGGAGGGGTCGCTATGAGTCGGGGCCGACTCAACGGCACATAACAACAACAACAACAACATGGGAAAAATATTGAAGGATGCAGGAAGCATCAAAAGAAGATGGAAGGAATACACAGAATAGTTATTGTTGTTAGGTGCCGTCGAGTCATTTCTGACTCACAGCGACCCCATGCACAGCAGAACGAAACACCACCCAATCCCATGCCAGCTCCACGATCCTTGCTATACTTGAGCCCATTGTCACAGCCACCGTGTCAATACATCTTGTTGTAGGCTGTCCCCCCTTTCCTTGACCTGCCATATTACCAAGCATGGCATTCTTCTCCAGGGAATGGTCCCCTCTGACAACATGACCAAAGTAGGTGAGATGAAGCTTGGCCATCCTCGCTTCCAAGGAGCATCTCGGCTACACTTCCTCCAGGACAGATCTGTTAGTTCTTTTGGAAGTCCATGGTACCTTTAGCATTCTTCACCAGCACCACAACTCAAAAGCATCAACTCTTCTCCAGTCTTCCTTATTCATTATCCAGCTCTCACATGCATACAAGGTGTCTGGAAATATCATGGCTTGTGTCAGGTGCACCTTAGTCCTCAAGGAGATATCTTTGCTCCTCAGCACTTGAAAGAGTTCCTTCATAGCTGACCTGCCCAGTGCTACACGTTGTCTAATGTCCTGACTGCTGCTTCCATTGGCCTTGATTGTAGAACCAAGCAACGTGAATTGTTTGACAACCTCAATCTTTTCTCCATTTATCATGATGCTGTTTATTGGTCCAGTTGTGAGGACTTCTGTCTTCTATATATTGAGATGTAATCCATACTGCAGACTGTGTTCCTCAATCTTCATCAGTAAGTGCCTCAAGTCATCCTCACTTTCAGCAAGCA